AATTTGGCCTTTTGAAATGCTGTTTTTCTGATTTTTACAGAGTGCAATCGATTACTGTAATAGTGCAATCGATTGTCAGAGTGAAATTCAATTTTTTTTGAAAAAATGCACTGATGCAATCGATTGCATCAACAATGCAATCGATTGTAACAGTGCCAAAATGCTTTTTCTGCCTTGTTTTGGGGCTGTTTTGATCCATCTATATTTTTCTACTCACTCCTTTTGATTGTTGATTTGGATTGCAATTTTAAATGTCCAATTTCTCTTTAAATTCAATGAACTTTGGGTGTAGATGAAGTTGGATAAATGTTCTTTGATTCAAATCTACCAAAGAGTGAATTATTTAATTCATTTTTGGTGCTTTGGATTAATGATCTGTTTAGTACTTTAATCCATCTAGATGAGTGATTGAATTTAAAGATGAAAAAAAATTGAGGTAGTGATCCAAATTGGCTTATCATTCCCCTCCCTCTTCATCTTATCCCTTTCTTTTTATTTGTGTTACATGTTATTGGATGATGATCTTTATATCATATATCCAAACATGAAGTACATATATTGTTATTGACTGACCTTAAAATAGGTGTGACTTCTACATAAGTCTACTTACGATTACTTAACATAGCGCTAAATTTTGTCCCGATTCGAGAAAATGATTATTCATGGCCTAAACATATATTTGAAAGCCCAAGTATGTTAATTTGAACCCTTTGATCCAATAACCTTGAGATTCATTGTTAGGAGGCTTTGGTTCTACCAATCCTCCAATGGATCTTCATCAATTTTGGTCAACGAGGATCACTTAAACATTGTTGATCATTAAACGTTGCCTTGAGGATTATTAAATGGATGATATACTTGACAAAAAGCAAATACAGCTTGTTGTTGAGAGGCTTTGGTTCTACCAATCCTCTAATGAGTTCTAAATTCAAGTTTCAAGATGGTCATCCAACTAACCATTAACTTCTAACAATTGACTTTATTTTATGCTTTTATTTTTATGTTTTTACTTTATGTACAATTTACTTTAGCATTTATATTTCATGCTATTTTCATCTTTGCTCACTTGAGCATTTATTTTTATGTCATTTTTATTTTGCTCACTTGAGATTTTCTTTTCTTTTTGAAGATACTTAATAATCAACATGAACCATAAAAAACATTAATGATATTTGGACTATTTGGTTACTATCATTGGCATTATGGAGTATTGGACTTCTTGGACTTAGGATTAGAGACCTTGGTCTATGTTGGAGACCTTGTGACCTTAATTAATATTTTGTCTGGAGTTCTTGGGGTTTACCTCAAGATATTGGATTATTTGTTTGTTTTGTGTGCAGGTTATTGTGATTACATACTTTATCTGTAATCTAAAATTCACCCGTATACAGCTGTTACTCTGCCCAATTTTTGTGAAGACTTAATACACTTGAAGTTTAGTTCTCTCAAGAGGTCTAGTATCTTTGTTTGCTTGGTTTCAATCCAAAGAATGGTAATTCTATCTTGACTCGTAATGTCAAGTGTTGGCTTCTTGTTGGTTAGATGATTTCTCTCCTTAACTTTTACATTATGCTTTAGTATAGTTCATTCTTCTCCTCCCATCTTCTTTAATTTCAAAAATCTTCTCCCTCCTTTTGAAAACTCTTTTTGTTTCTAAACTTGAATCATTTTGATAATAAACTTGGACTTAGGTCCATGCATTTTCAAAGTATTTTCATGAATAAACTTTAATCAACTTAATAATACCTTAACATTTTTGTGTGAAGACTAAAAGTTAACCAATCTCATTCAAATTATTTTGCCACTTTCGCCTTTTACCTTTAAAAATTTTCTCAAAAGATTAGACTCTTGTCAATCTTTATAGTGATGCAAACAACTATACTTCTATAATATGTAGTGAAGAGAGATATTTTTCACTTGAGTGTTGAGTGAGGCATTGTTGATTTTAAAATCCAAGACATATCCTCCACTTTGAGATGATGCAAATTCTCTTTTCTCATAATTGTGGGTAGTAAGTATGTTTTCTACACGGTCAATGACGATGATGTCTTATCTCATAAAATTAACCAAACACACTTGTGTTTTAAAATTTTTAAAGATGAACTACGTGTACCCTGATCCCCCTATTGCACGAAAGGTGATACATAGGCACTAAAGGTTCGCAACCGCGGCGGGTGCAAAAATCATAAAAAATACTTCTTTTCTCACCTCCACCATCTATTTTTATACAATATTTTATAGTCAAATATACAGATTTTACAAAGAGGTTCTTGTGGTGTACCGTAGATGTTTAGGGTGCTAATACATTCTCTTTGCATAACCAACCCCCTTACCTTGAATCTTTCCCCCTCTTTTAAGTTATTTGCTCTTTTCTCATTCCTTTAAAAACAATAAAGTGCGGTGACGATTTTTAATATTGATTTGTACAAGTCTAATCAATCTAATGACTTAATCTTAAACATTTCTACCGGTACACCGTCCAAATAAAAAATTACAATTACACATTTGACATTGAATTCACAACACTATACAATAGATCATAGTTTGCACGTTGCATAATTTTTTTTATTGTGATTTATGAATAGGCAACTGTGTTTCAAAAATCAAATAAAATAAATGTAGTTTCTAATAAATTGACATTTATATTTATTTAGGGGAAAAGTTTTTTATTGTATAAGTTAAGTATTCAAAACTTAATAACAATGAATAAAATAACATTATACAACATCATATAAATACAAAAAAATTAATAGCCTACTCTTATAAAAATAATTGAAATGTTTGGGAGGACCATAACCTTGGTCCAGCTTCTAGCTAAGTCCTAGTGTAAATAAATTAAATCAATTATTAATTTCAAACTTTTGAAGTGGTCGTAACAGAAATTGAAGCAACCATGTGGCCAGAGTTATATAAACATAGAATTTAGGGGCATGACTGCAATTGCACAAACAATGCATATAACTTATGACAAAATAATAGTTTAACTCTCTCACTTTTTTCACCGGAAATTCATACTTTTCATTTTCATCATATTTTAAACACTTTTTTTTGTGTGTAAAAAAAACACTTTTTTTAAATTTCCTTTATAATAATTAGGGGTGTTCGCGGTTCGATTTGGATCGGTTTTAAGATAAAAACTTATCCGATCCAAAGATAAATTTACTTGCGGTTCGGTTCGGTTTTAGATGATATATTAAAAAAAATCCAATCCGATCCGATCCAATTTTATGCGATTTAATTTGGATCGGTTTTTGGATATCCAAATTACACATTATATTTTTATTAATATTATAAAACTACAAATAAATCATAGATTTGATATAATATATAACATATAGTATATTAAAAGTTAATATTACAAAATGAGAGTGGTTGATTATGATTGAAATAATAAAAATAAATAAATTATATCAAGCTAATAACTATTATTAAAAAAATTATCATCATCTAATAATAATTTCACATAGCATATCATACTAATAAAAAGTAAATAAGTATAAAAATATATGTATGTGGTTTGGTTTGGTTTGGATCGGTTTTGAAAAATTAATTCGAAATTCGATCCGAACTGATCGGTTTTCATAAAAATAACATCCAAGCACATCCAATAAATTTTAATTTTTTGCGATTTTTAATTTTTTGAATCGATTTTCAGTTTTTTATTTAGATTGATTTGGATTTGAACACCCTTGATAACAACCTTTATAACTGAAGTTTTTTTTATAAGAAAAATTATATTATGAAGAATATAAGGGGTACTCAACCCTTTATAACCGAAGTTTATATTTTTTGCTATAACTTTCACCTTAAAATACTTTTCTATTGCGGTTTTTAAACTAAATATTTTGCTGTTACCTTAATAATAATAATAATATAACCATTACAAATTAAATAGTTTTCAATTTCAGCTGTTAGCATCATTATATTTGAAATAATGTACTTTATTGTTACATTAATTAATAATAGAGATAGTTTTCATGTTACATTTTACATTGTCATTGAAGTTTCAATTATGATATCTTGTCAAATATTTATTGGCATATTTAATGAAAAAATATATATAAAAAAATAATATGATAAAAATCTAATTAAACATCATCATAATTTTATTACCGAAAATATTAGTTGTGTTCAAAATTAAATGGATTTAAACAAAAATCACAAATCCATTAAAAAATTACAAAAATTACAAATGAAATTGAATAATTTTAAATGTGTTTAAATTCTCTTTTAAAAAAAATCTCTAAGATGAAATTTTGAATTGATTTTTGAAAATCGACCTCAACCAAACCAAATCGCATGTATATATTTTAATAATTTTTTATTAATAAAATATAATACATTAATTTAATATTTGTTTATATCTAATTTATTTTACTATTTAATTTATCTATTTATTTTAAATATAATCTATCATTTTTATTTTTATTTATTTTAATACTGTTTATTAATTTAATTTATCTATTTATTTTTAATAATTCATTTGTTTTAAATATAATCTTTTATTATTTTAATTTGTAATAAATTATATGTTATATATCACTTCACAATTATTATTTTATAGTATTTTTATATCATTAATATAAATGAAAAAATTATATATTTTTATTTAAATATCAGATCAGATCAATTTTTTAATTAATCATCTAAATCGAATCAAATCATAAATAATTTTATTTTTAAATCAAATAAAATTTATTCTCTTGAAACCATATCCATACTGGGAACACCCTTGGTCAATGCATAAATCATAAAATTTATTTATTTATATTAGAAATAATATCTCAAATTACAAGAGACATAGATAAATGACATGTTCATACTTGATTGTTCAAAAACTATAATATTGTTTCAATTATGATATATAAAATGACGAAAATAGCCTTGTAGGGCCCTATAAAACGAAACACACCTTTCAGTGAAGATAACACAACTATCCCCAACACATCCTATTTAATAGCTACAATATTGTCTCAACTCTATCAAAGTTTCACAGAATCATGGCATTTAATCAAGAATTAGAAGCTATAACTCAAGCTTTTTCAGGTTCTCTATTTCTCAACTTCTAGTATTATCATATTAAATTATCACATATTTAATATTGATTATTTAAATGATATAATTTTCAGGACATGGTGTGGATGAGAAATCATTGGCAACAATATTGGGAAAATGGGATCCTGTGGAGAGAGAAACTTATAGGAAGAAAACATCACATTTCTTTGTTGAAGATCATGAAAGAAAATTTCAGAAATGGAATGATCACCATGTTCGTCTTCTCAAACATGAGTTTGTGCGTTTTAAGGTATGGATTTTCTTTCCATTTGTTCTCTAAGTTTGTCGTTAAAAAGATCAATTTTGTGATGAAGTCAACCAAAAAAGAATTAGATTACAAGAGCAATTATTTTACTAAAAAAGTTGCTGTCACAATATTTATTTAAAAAAATGATAAAATGTTGTTTAAAAGAAATTAAATTATACTTTTTTTCCCTAAATTTTACTTAATTTTATTTGATTCACAAAATTAATTCTCATATATTAAATTCAGATAATTTTGACTCTCTCTCACATTTTTCATAGTAAATTGAGGAGATATTTATTTTTTACCTTATGTTTTTATCTCGACTAAAAAGAATTTATATTTTTATTTATAGAATTCCACAATATATTTATATATGGTTATTTATTATATTTCACTAAAAGTTTGTTATTTTTTACATAAAAATATCATCTTTTAAATACAAAAGTATGAAAGGAGATCAAAATTATTTAAATCTAAAATATAAGATCAATTTTGTGAGTTAAATAAAATAGTAGAGGAAAATTGTAATTAAAATTAAAAAATTAAAAATACAAATATCTTGCAAATGCATAAACGATCTATTGTATGTTTAATTTTTTGTTGAAATATTCTGAATTAATGTTAGATATGTAAAATTGATTTTGAGAATTTAGTAATTCTCGAGTAAGATTAATTATTTTTCTTCATATTGATTTATCAAATAACGCTCTCCTATTTTTTTGGGATTAATACTCCCTTTTTTTAATCAATTAATTGGATTAAAAAACAATTAGATAAAAGTGAAGTCTTAAGCTATCCCTTGTAAAATTATAGGGAATTTATCCTTAGTGATTTATATTATTTAGTGATTTATATTAATACGAAATTTTATTAAATAAAATTAATTTTTTAAATTATATATTAATTCAAAATTTTAAGATATTTGGTTTCATATAATGAAAGAATCATTACTCACATTTACTAACATCTTACTAATTAAAAATTAAATTACATTTTATTTTCTTAATTTTTATTTAATTCTTAAAAAATTTAAATTAATATGCAATTTTAAAATTTTACTTTATATAACAAAATTTAATTGATAAATATCATAAAATATAAATTATCCTTTATAAAGGGTAGTCGAGAATTTATAAAATATGCGTTATTGCAAGTTGCAACTATGACAATTGTTATTATTTTTAAATTTATATATAACTAAGTAGAAGATTCAACCAAAATAATGAAATAAAAGAAACCACAAATTAAAAAATTACATAATTATTTTTATGTGGTTGCTTACAAGCTGAGTTTTGAATGTAATGTTCAGAATGCAGTGGTGCTTTGGAGCATGCACCCTTGGGAAAGAGATGCTCGTTTAGCAAAAGAGGCTCTAAAGAAAGGCCCAAGTTCATATAATGTCCTCATTGAGATTGCATGCACTAGATCTTCAGAGGAGCTTTTGGGAGCTAGAAAGGCATATCATTCTCTCTTTGATCACTCCATTGAAGAAGATGTTGCCTCTCACATCCATGGCATCGACCGAAAGGTTCGTACTCTCTCTGATCACTATTATAAATAAATATTTATTTTACAGATTTATTTAATGATTAATGTATCTGATATATATTTATTTTATAAATTTATTTAATAATTAATGTATCTGAGTATATATAACTAATAACTAATTAACACCTTTTAGTTTTGTAAACAGCTCTTGGTTGCACTTGTAAGTGCCTATAGATATGAAGGTACAAAGGTTAAAGATGACACTGCAAAATCAGAAGCTAAAACACTTTCCAATGCCATTAAAAATGATCAAAAGAAGCCAATTGTTGAGGATGATGAAGTAATAAGGATTTTGGCAACAAGAAGCAAGCTACATCTTCAAGCAGTTTCCAAACACTATAAAGAAATATCTGGCAAGAATCTTGAAGAGGTATTATAAAAAAAATTCTAATCCATGCACCATAATGCCATTAGAATTTATGATATTCATTTTCTGATTAAAACTTCACTTTCTTTTCTTAGGATCTTAATGACTTAAGGTTCAAAGAAATAGTGCAATGTCTTTGTACTCCCCAAGTTTATTTTAGTAAGGTAAGACAAATTTACTAAATATATGTAATTTATTTAAACACTTGCCTGAATAACCAACACGTATTTTATAAGTGTCACACCAGTGTCGCTATTCAAAGAGTGTTGAAGGAAAAACAAAATTTTTTAAAAGAAATTTTTTTGAGATTTGTCTGGTTATTTTCGACACATATCCTACGAGTGTCATACTAGTGTCAGACACCGACATGCATCTATCACCGTAACACACTTACTATTAATATAATGCATATTTTTATAGGTTTTGGATGCAGCATTGAAAATTGATGTGGATAAGAATGTTAAAAAGTCACTTACTCGTGTGGTAATTACTAGAGCTGATATTGATATGAAGGAGATAAAAACCGAGTATCAAAAGTTATATGGAGTTTCTTTGCCTCAGAAAATTGAAGAGACTGCTAAAGGAAATTACAAGGATTTTTTGCTAACCTTGATTGCAAGAGGAGGCTAATTGATGAGATTAATCAAAGAAAAAAAACTTTGATAACTGGTAGTTTGTTCTGAGATGAAATTTGAGTTTTTATTTTTTGTTGCTTGTATTGTTTATCAATTCAAATTTGTATTGTTCATGGTATGTAATGTTTGATCTTGTATTAGTATTCATTACCGAAGAAAAAAATTAAAAAAATATAATCGAATAAATATCATTTTATTATCTAAATGCATACTTAATGAAATTTCATCGTAATTTTTAATAGACATTATTTCATTCACGCGTTAAGAATAAGAAATGAGAACACAAGAAATCGATCAGAAATTCAAAATCACTTCATTATTATTATTATTATTACCATCATTATTAAAAAACAAAGCACAAAACAAGAGCTTTAGTATTCTCTTCCTATAAGAGTAAGAAGGAACCTCTTGTAGTCTCCTGAGATCTCCCTGGCCACTGCATCCTCGAGACGAACACTGTTTCTATGGTAATACAGCTCTTTGATGTCCTTCAAGTCCTTCTCAGCCCTTGTGACCACCACGCGGGTTAGTTCATCTTCATCGGTTCCAATCTTTTTCAGCGCACTCCGAAGAATCTACATGAATAGAAGTCAAAGACAATTCAATAGGTTGGATACCGTTACTAGAGTTTGTACTCTGGACCTATCCGCTGTGTGTGAGTTTTTAGTAGCTATTATCACTTTGTTTACCGATAAAAAAAAAAGTATTTGTATTTGTGTTACCTTTTCATAGTACTTCTTGTGGTCATCAATGCAACGAATGGCGACATGAACAGCTTTAAGGAAGTCATCAGACTCTTCACTCAACAGTCTCTGCAAACACAAAGTTTGTTATAGAAATAGCTTAGACATAATAAGTACTACTTATTTGTTAAGAGATTATAATTTTTGATTCCTTGGTTTAAGAAAAACCTTGCTAATAGAGTAGCCATGATCATCTCTGTAACGGTTGAAAGTAGCCTTAAGTTGGGTCTTGCTCCTTGTAGTAAGGATCCTGATAACTTCCTCAAGGTTACCTTTCTTGTTTTTGATAGCATCATGAAGAATTTCAGCTTCATATTTTGCCAAACTTGAATGGATATTATCACCACCATATCGAAACGAGGTCACCAGTCCAACCAAAAACTGTCAAAACAAACCATCAAATAGAACACTCAAGACTGTAAATCATTTATATTTACAGAGTCGTTAATGTTAATGAAAACCCTGTGTAGATTAACTGTGAAAAATATTTTATGAGATTTTTTTTAGTCGTGATTTAACTATGACAATTTCTGAACTCTGACAAATTCTAATCTGAATAAATAAATTTATAAAATATCAAAACATCTTATTAAATATATGTGCAGAGTCTTATACGAATCGAAATTCTCAACAATTGTAGAATGACATTGTTATAGTTTTGAAATCAGACTGTTCAACTTATTGTAATATTTTCAAGCGGTTATATTTAGATCGGGTGTCACGATTTTACCTGGCGAAAATAGCCAGAGGTATGTGCAGCCACATGTTCTTCCAAAGAATGGTGGAATCGATAATGATAGGCGCGCCGCACATTCAGAAGCTCTTCAGGTTTAAGAACACTAGCAATTTCCACAATCACATGATAATCTCTGTAAACATTCTTAAGAGCTACATTTGCCAACACAGCATAACAATCTGAAGGCTCCAATATCCACCTATACATTGCTTTCTGTTCAAATTAACCACCATTAGTTTCAATTCTATTAGTTATTATTCATTAACCATTATTATGAAAAGAATATAATACCTCAAAGTTACCAGACAACTCTGATTCAAGACGTTTGATGAGATCTTCTTCGTACATACTTTCGTAGGTTAGTCTTATTTGTTGCCTTTGAATAGCATTTCTATGTCCCATTATAGCTATGATAGCACTCTCATCAGTCCCCCATCCTATAAATTTAAACATAAAATAATCAATTATTTAACAACAGTTTAACTGTTACAAATTTTGAATTATAAAATCTAACCTTTGACAGCCTTATAAAGAACCATAGCATCATCCTCGGGAGTAAAATGATGAGGAGAAACAAGAGTAGACATGATTTGTGATGTTTATTCTATGATATGGTTGGATGTTTTTTTTATCAAAGGTCTATGACGTATATTTATAGCATGCTCTTGCAATGTACATTCTACAAATGCAATTAACAAGTTCTATTTTTTCGATCTTTTTTGTTATAAAATCTTAAAATAATAAATTAAATCAATGTATTTCCTCTATGGTAATTGGTAAACCCTCATAAAGCAGTGTTACTTTAGATTTCACTTTTTCTATATTTATATTTGGTGTTCTCACAATTGCCATTTATGTTATGAAAAAGATACAAAGAATTTTATTTATATATTAAAAATATGTTTGATGGTCAAACTAAAATAATATAATAATCATTGCTTATAATGTTCAAATTTAGTGCTTAATTAGAATTGTCTGAGTAAGTATATTCTATTTATATATTAAAACATGTTTGATTGTAAAATATCTAAATTAATGGATGATATTAAAAAGATAATTTAGTTAATTAGTACAATTTTCAATGCTTATTTTCTAATATGGTCTTTTGGTATTTTCAATATTTAGTAGAAATATGCTATCCTAGGCTATCAATATTGTACCTTACTTTATTTCCTCTATTTTGATATACAAACAATAGTCTTTTGTTATCATTCTTTGTTCATACTTCTTCTCCCACTTCATTACTTTGCACCAACAAATTGGTATCTAAAGCACTTGATTCTGTTTTTTCCTAGGAAATACGAGTAGTTATGAGTTGTGTGTTTGATTTTGGTTCGTTGTTTTTCTGTTGAAATCTTGAACAAAATCTGAACAAAATCTGATTCTGTGGGTTGGGAAATAGTGTGTTTGAAGATCTGAAAAATCTGTGCAAGGTTAAAGATGAGTGGAGGCAGTAGTTTGAACACCAAACTCCCAGTTTTAATGGAAAAAACTGGAACAGATGGATGATACAAATGCGTGTGTTGTTTGGTGCGCAAGATGTTCTAGATCTGGTTACAGATGGTTATGTACCAACTGCAGCAGATGCAACTGAAGAACAGAAAACTGCTGAGAAGGTTATGAGGAAAAGGGACCAGAAAGCTCTGTTCTATATCCACCAGTGTGTGGATGAAAGTGTGTTCGAGAAGATTGTTGATTCGACAACGTCAAAAGGGGCGTGGGATTTACTGGTGAGATGTTACGGTGGTGACACATCAGTAAAGAAGGTGAAGCTTCAATCCCTGCGAAAGTAATATGAGAACTTGAACATGAACAACAATGAGAAATTTTCTGAATATATCTCCAGAGTGATCCTGATCACTAAAGAGATGAAGGCGTGTGGAGAAACTTTGTCTGAACAGGTAATCATAGAGAAGATTCTGAGGTCGCTTACTCCTCAGTTTGATTACATTGTTGTTTCTATTGAACATTCTAAAAATATGGAAACCATGAGAATAGAAGAATTGCAAAGCAGCTTAGAAGCACAGGAGTTACGTCTGACTGAGAGAACTTTTGAGAGGGAAGTTGAGCAAGCTCTGAAGGCTTCTTTTGTCAAGAAAGACCAGAAGCAGAATAAACGTGGTGATAGATTCCAGAAGTCAGAAACCTCAATTTCTGATGATAAGAGATATCATAAAGGAAATGAGAGGTATGACAAAAAGAAGGTTCAATGTTACTTTTGTAAACAATTTGTCCATTTTTCCAGAGATTGTAGGTCAAACAAGGAAAGGAAATCAGAAGAAGCGTATATGGCTAAGGGAAACTCTGATGATGAACCTGTGCTACTAATGGCTTCTGATTCTGATGAAAAATGCTCAGAAGATTGGTGGTATATGGACACTGGTTGTTCAAATTACTTAACTGGAAACAAATAATCGCTGAAAGACTTTGACTCTAAAAGGAGACCAAAGATCAGATGTGTTGACGATAAGTATCTTAATGTAGAAGGTATGGGAGATGTCAAAGTTAGAGTGAAGAATGGGAAAAACATCTTGATCAAAGACGTTTGGTATGTTACTGGTATTAGAAGCAATCTGATGAGCGTGGGTCAGCTGATTGAGAAAGGTTTCTCAGTTGTTATGAAAAGCAATCTCTTGACGTTGTATGATTCCAATCAGAAGTTGATTATGAAGTCTAAACAAGGGAGCAACAAAATATTCAAGGTGAATGTAAAAACAGCTGAAGCAATGTGTCTTGGTGTAGAAGGCACTGAAGGTGACAATAAGCTGTGGCATAAGAGGTTGGAGCATTTGAACTATAAAAGCTTAGGGCATATATGTTCTAAGAAGCTTGTACATGGTATTTCGAAGATTGTGAAACCTGAATAGTCATGTGAGATATGCATGAAAGGCAAGCAACCCAGATTGCCATTTGCATCAAGTTCAAGCATGAAGTGTTTACTGAGTTTCATAAATTTAAAGTGAAGGCTGAGAAGCAGAGCGGTCAGAAGTTGAAGATTCTGAGAACAAATTGTGGAGGTGAGTATAACTCTACAGAGTTCCAGAAGTTCTGTGAGGAAAATGGAATAGAACATGAGGTTACTGCCCCATATACTCCTCAGCACAACGGTCTTGCAGAAAGAAGAAACAAAACTTTGCTTGATATGACCAGAAGCATGCCGAAAGAAAAAAAGCTACCTCACGTGTTATGGGGAGAAGTTATTGCCACATCAGCATATATTATGAACAGGTTTCCAACAAAGAAGCTGAAGGAAGTTGTTCCTTTAGAAAAATGGACTGGAGATAAGCAGAGTGTCATTCATCTGAAGGTGTTTGGCTTTGTCTGCTACAAACACGTTCCAAAAGCTAGAAGACAAAAAATGGATGATAGAAGCAAAGTAATGTTGCTGGTGGGGTATCACAGTACATGTGCGTATAAGCTTTATTGTCCATAAACTAATAAAGTTGAAGTCAGCAGAGACGTTGTGGTGAAAGAGTCTGAAGCATGGGATTGGAACAAGTCCTAATCAGATTCTGGTGTAATGCCAACACCAGAGTTAGCTTCTGAAGATGTTTTAGAAAGTTCTGGAGATTTTGAAGATGAATCAGAAAGAGATTCTGACAGTGGATCTGATTCTGATCCAGATGTTGATTCTGATCCAGATGCTGATGATGATCCAGAATCTGGTGGTGATCATAATTTTGGAAGGAAAAACTCTGAAGGTGGTAACTCTGAAGGTAGTAGTTCTGGTGCAGTTCCAGAACAAGCTCAAAGACCATAGAGAATCAGATAAAAAACAAAAAGGTTTGCAGATTTCGACATTGTTGCAGGATAATAAAGTTGATTCTGAAAGAGAAGTCGTTCAGTGTGCCATGTTAGTAGATTTTGAACCAGTGGGCATTGAAGAAGCTCTCAAGAAGAAAGAATGGCTGAATGTCATGAAAGAAGAACTTGAGGCAATAGAAAGGAACAAAACATGGAAATTGACTAAGCTTCCAGATTAAAAAAAAAGCCATCAGTGTCAGATGGGTTTTTAAGTTAAAGCTTAAGTCAGATGGTTCAATTGGCAAGCACAAGGCTAGACTAGTAGCTAGAGGTTTTCTTCAGAAACCTGGGCTAGATTACTTTGAGGTGTTTGCGCCTGTAGTTAGGCATGAAACAATCAGACTGGTGATTGCTTTAGCTGCAAATAGAAATTGGCCTTTGATGCATCTAGATGTGAAGTCTGCATTTCTGAACGGTCTATTACAGGAAGAAGTTTATGTGTCACAACCTCCTGGATTTGTGAAAAAGAATCAGGAAGAGATGGTATACAAGTTGAATAAAGCTCTGTATGGATTGAAGCAAGCGCCCAGAGCTTGGAATCTGAAAATTGATTTGTTTTTCAAGAAGCAGAAGTTTCAGAAATGTGAGATGGAATATGGCGTTTATGTGCAACACTCTGATAATAATATGATTCTGGTGTGTCTCTATGTTGATGACATTTTGCTAACAGGAAGCTGCCCAGAAGATATAAAGAAGTTCAAAGAAGTTCTGATGAATGAGTTCGAGATGACAGGTCTAGGAAATATGACATATTTCCTAGGGGTGGAGATTTTGTACTCAAAGAAGGGTATCATTATGCATCAGTTGAAAGACGAACTTGAACTTCTGAAGAGATTTAAGCTGCAGAATTGCAAAGTTACAGTGACACCATCAGAAACCAATCAAAAATTGGATTCTGACTCTGATGGTGATTTTGTTGATACTACAACCTTCAAACAGTTGGTTGGTTCTCTAAGGTATTTATGCAATACTAGAACTGACATTTGTTATGCAGTTGGATTGGTTAGCAGATTTACGAGTAATCTAAAGTGGTCTCATTTCCTAGCTGTTGTCAGAATTCTGAGATATATCAAGGAAACTCTTAAATATGGAGTGTTGTTTCCTTCTGAAAGAAAGACAAAACTAACATTAGTAAGTTATTCTGATTATGACTGGTGTGGAGACAGACTGGATAGGAGAAGTACTTCTGGATACTTGTTTAAATTTCTGGGAGGTCCTATTTCCTGGAGTTCCAAGAAACAGCCTGTCGTGGCTCTGTCAACATGTGAAATTGAGTATATCGCAGGTGATGTAGCTGCTTGTCAAGTTGTTTGGCTTCTGAATCTCTTGCATGATCTGAAGGTTGAAGTTGAGGAACCTCTGAAGCTGATGATTGATAATAAGTCTGCAATTGATCTTGCCAAGAATCCAGTGCTACATGGAAGAAGCAAGCACATTGAGACGAAGTATCATTTTCTTATAAGTCAAGTGCAGAAAGGAGTGTTAGAAGTTCTGCATTGCAGCATCCAGAAACAGCTAGCAGATCTTTTGACGAAGGCAGTTAAGACAGACCAATTTCTTCGCTTGAGCGATAAAATTTGTGTTGTTAGCTTCTGATAGAATATCTAAATTAAGGGATAGTATTAGAAAGATAATTTAGTTAATTACTACAATTCTCAATGCTTATTTTTTAATATGGCATTTTGGTATTTTCAATATTTAGTATAAATATGATATCCTAGGCTATCAATATTGCACCATACTTTATCTCCTCTACTTTGATATACAAACAATAATTTTTTAT